AGGCATAGTGGTAGCTAAACTCACCAGTAGTGAATTTTCCTGGATGTTTAACGACACAATCACCAGTTTTCGCCATGCATTTCTGTTTCCCACATTGTGCGCAAACGGGTAGTTTACTGATGGCTGAGCAAAAATAACAAAATGCTCGTGATTTTTGATCTCGAAGGCATTGGTCACATTGCTGGAAAAGTTATAATCAGTTAGTGGTAATTATGATGATATTCAATGAAGTAAATAAAGAACATACCATTTGAAAATTGCATGGATGCTCTGCTAAATCTCGCTCGCCACTTCGAATCTTTTTCTGAAGTTCACGCTGCTTTTCAGCCTTTTTCCGTTGTCCTGTCTTCTTCTTGGGCATGCCTTAGAAATGTTACTCTGGCTATGACCACGGACAGTTTGTGAAAAAGTGTTTTTTTTTGCAAGAGAAAGGAACGAATGTAGATACCTTTAAACGCTATCAAATCCCCGGAGAAAACTTGAGCCTACAAAAAACAATGCAGGGAGCTATATAGCATAAAAAACGTGATGAGCTTCAAAACAACGGCGAAAAATTTCAGAAAAGCTGTTTTTGTTGAAATCTTCCAAAATTTTTGCACTGCAACTTCGAGAAAATGGAGAAGAAGTGTGCACCACTAGATTTAGCTTGACGAGGAAAATTTATAAGAAAAAACATCTATATGGAATAAAATGTTCTTTAAGCTCAGGAAAACAATTATTTGAGCCGATATAAAAACAGCGATGACAATTAATCCTAGCTATTTCGTAGTACACTTTTGATGAACTATTCACGAATCATTAATTCGGATTAAAATCGCTTATGGTTCCCTTGTTTTTCGCTAAGTCTACTCATTCTCGAATATCATTCAAAATAAATAAAAAACCGAACCTAGCAGCCGTGCTCCGATATAGACATATAGGCGATTCGTAGCACACAAAGACTGCGGACTATCGGCATCTCTCTGATCGTGCGCTCTTTCGTTTCTCTTACCTTCTGCCGCCTCTCCCATGCACAAACTGTCTTGGTCGGACGCAACGGCGCCCAGTCTTTGCGTACCACGAATCGGTGATACGTGGCGTCTCGGCTGACAGTAACCGACAGAAAATGTCATCACTAACTTAGTTTTCAATTTTTATCTAGTGTAAATCATTTATTTCTTCTAAAAATTTGCGAGAATCTTACAGAATCTGGGGTAGCGCAAGTCCGACGACCAAGAAGAGCAGTGAACACAAAGAGGAAAACTCTAGGAACCGGGAAATTCTTAAGTTTGCAAAAGGCTAATTGTTAATAAAGACGACTATCCGTGCTGTCTGGGCTCAATTACGAAAAGGCACAAGAAGTTGGCTGATAAAAAAATTGAGAAAGGGGTTACTAAAAAATAGAGAAATCAAGGTTATATCTTGATTGCATGCTGGTAAAACTCTGATATAAAACTTTCCATGAGCTGAAGCAATTGAGCAGCGAATTTTAGCTTATAAATCTGATATGATGGAAGTCATTTCTTGGGTGGAGGAAGCTAAAG